AGGTCATGATTCCTTGTATTGTATGATTGTGTTATCTGATGTGATTTCCTTATATGTTGTAAACTATACCACTATGAGATTATATGTGATCTCATGTGTTATAAATTCTATCACTGTGATGAGGTTTTACTGATGAGGCTGACAAGATTAGTGTCTTAATGCAATTTCTTTTGAGATATAAAAGAGAGAAGCGAGCAGAGACACATGGGAACCGCATACCACCAAGAAAGCAGTGCCGGGAGCAGAGCGAGTCCTTCGGACCTGAGGTTCCTGCGCAGAGAAGCTCCCAGACCAAAGGAAGACTGATGACTTGGACTTTCCTCCAGAGCTGGCAGAGAGAGAAAGCCTTCTCCTGGAGCTGATGCCCTGATTTTGGACTTGTAGCCTGCTGGACTGTTAAAAGAATAAACTTCTCTTTGCTAAATCCATCCACTTGTGGTACTCCTGTTAGAGCAGTGCCAGATGACTGAGACGGAGTTCATTCAGGGCAGACTGAAATGGAATTTCATGGCCGGGATTGGATCACATCACGTCAGGTGCATAAGGTGTTAGTTCATTTTATATTAACAACACTTCTGGGAGTCCTCTGAGAGAAACCGAGGCTCAGGATATTAAGTGACTTGCCCAAGGCCATATGGGATTCATAGTCTATTCTATTTGGCTACAAAGGGCTCAGGTTCTTCTTTTTTTTAAATTTATTTTACTTTTTGTTGTTGAAGAATGTAATCAACATCACTGAATTTTACACACAGATATTGTTGAACTGGTGTATGTTCTGCCGTGTATATTATCAACAAGCTGTGCAACCATTCTCACTTTCCTTTTCCAAACTGTTCCTCCCCCATTAACATCAACTCACTGCCCCCTATGTTTCCTTTCTACTCTTTCAAGTTGCTGTAGTCAAGGGGCCCAGGTTCTTTTGAACACATCATGCTGTCTTCAAAAGCTCTTCTTTTTGACCAGATTTACTGGCCTAAAGGAGACTGGAGAAACCTCGAGAGTATGGCCCCCAGACACCCTTTTAGCTCAGTGGTGAAGTTACCGCTGAGGTTCACTGTTCAGCCTGGCAGTGGACAGCCCCGTAAAACCAAATGAGACTAACGAGGTACAGGAGTCCAGTGACAAGGGCCAGAAGGCAGAAGGGGA